CGAGTGTCCGTGCAGTGCGTTTCATCGTCCGTACGGATCACTGTTCACGCCGGACCGTTGGACGCCGCGGCTGTCACCAGCACCTCGCCGGCCACCGCCCCAGCCTGTCCGCACAGTGTCCGTACGGAATTACTGTTCACCGCGTCCGTACTGTGCACTGTTCCGCCGTCCGTACATCGCCGGCGACGCCGCTCCCGTTGCTGCCGCTGTCCCGGCCCGTTCTAGCCCTGTTCTGTCTCGCCTTTTTGGGTAAGTGTTTTCCCCAAATGTCATTTAGGACCTCGGGTATTTCTAGACTCGTTTGAGGTTCGGTTTAAGTGATTTTAGGGACTGTTTGTGGCTGTTTCGTGGCTGTCTCGGGACTAAGTTGGGGGTTGAATGTTTGGAGGTTGTGGGCTGAGTGGGCGACGAAATTCGAGGTTTAGGAATGCTGAGTTAGGGCTGTGATGTCGAGGATCGATCGGGAATTAAATTGGTGATTAATTGGAAATGTATTGGCTTGATTGGGTTTATCGGATTAATTGTGTAGTTTGCTGTCATTGGCTTGTTCTAGTTTGTGCTTGGGCCGAATGTGATGTGGTGCTATGCCATGTGTGTGGCCGTGAGGTGTGGTGGCGTGGACATGTGAATGTGCATTGAGTTCGTGTGCCGAGTGTGGGTGATCATGTGGTGTTCGTGTGATGAGAATGCGTGTTTGGGAAGTGTGCGTGAAATGTGAAATTGGTGCGTGGCTATGTATGTGTGAAGCGTGTATGTTTGGCCGTGCGTGCGCTGGTTGTGTGTAAGTGTGGTTTGAGTGGAACGAGGATATGGAAATGTGAGATTGGTTGGAAAGGATCCGTCCTGAGGCGTGTACGTTTACGCGGGACGATGCCGTCCCTGACGAGGGGACGATGCCGTCCCTGAGGGACGATGCCCGGCCCGACGGGGTGTCGATGCCTGACGTGGTCAGAAGACTGTTGGCCTAATGCGTTTTACGCTGGCGCGGTAGAAGGAAAGTGTGTGTAGGATTCCGTCCTGAGGCGTGTACGTTTACGCGGGACGATGCCGTCCCTGACGAGGTGACGATGCCCGGCCCGACGGGGTGACGATGCCTGACGAGGTCAAAAGACCGTTGGCCTGATGCGTTTTACGCGGGCGCGGTAGTGGTGGAAAGGTTGAGAATGAGTGGGATTTGGCAAGACAAGCGAGAGGATTGTGGAAAGTGATGCATGGTGTGAGTAGCGTGCGAGTGTGTTTGTATCGCGCGATGTGATGCTTAATTATGGGGTAGAAACTGCTAGGCACGGTATGGGACGTGCTCAAGTGGTTTCTGTCTTATAATTGAGGCACGCGCGCGTCTGTGACTCCTTGCTGTGATGTGTTGGCTGTGTTATTGTCTAATGTGCAGGAACGTGCGTGATGGATTCCAGGTAGGGTCCCATGTGATTGTTAGTTTGGCCGATCGTTGTGTGTTATGTGTGTTTTCGTCTGGCGGTACGTGAGTGCCTACGTGGGGTTTGGGGTTGTACACTTATTGAGATTCGTCTCACGGTTGTATAACCGCCACTGAGACCCCGGCCCTAAACCCGGGAAGTGCGCCTTTTCTTTTTGGAAGTCCGGGAGCTGCTTGTTGGTGCCCGGTGGAGGCTGCGGGTGAGTTCCGAGATTCAAGCCGGAGATTCGAGAGCGGGGAGGAGGGCGACCCTTAGGTTTTTCCCTAGGGTGTTTTAGGGGTTGTATAACTTGGGTTATCCGATAGTGAAGTTAAGATAACCAAACCCCTGAACTTTTGTTTAAATGGTGACTGAGGATGTTAGTCTGTATTTATGTCTGTAATATGATGTTTGTATATTTGGTGTTGTATGAATATGTGGTTGCTTTGGATTGTTCTGTTGTTCTACCCCGTTGTCGTCATTATTTGTCAGGGGTTTTGTTATTCGCTTCCGCATGTGGCTCTGATGTTTGGGTTGGGTCGGCGACGTTCCTGGGACGTCGCATCATTTCGACCGGAGCAGGGGATGTCGCGAGCTCGTTGGGGTTCGGGGCATGACAGGTGGCGGCCGAGGGGGAACGACAGGTCGGCGGAGGTGGCTGAGGGAAGAGACTGGGAGGCAGAGGCGGAGCGGCGGCGGCCGGAACGGCGGCACGCGGCGGCGGCGAAACCTGGAGCCCAAACAGGGGAAAGCACCGGGGAAGAGAGAAACAGGGGAAGAGGAGGTCACGCGGTGGCCGAAGGCGGCACGGCGGCGTCTCGGGTGACCGGGCGACGGAGGACAAGCCGGCGGACGGCTAGATGACGTCGGACCGCGGCGGATGCAGCGGCGAGCTGCTGCTCGTGTGCAACGCGCAGACCGGACCCGGCGATGACGAGTTGCGCAGGCCAGTGACGCGGTCGCATGGCGACGAGCGGCGGCGCGGCTCGGTCGGGCGGCGGCGGCGCGAGGCGAAGCGGCGAACGGTGGCTGTCTTGGTCCAGTGAGCTTGGCAGCGAGCGAAGGCGGAAGCGATCGGACCGGAAGAGAAGACCCACGGAGAAGAAGAAGAAGAGAGGAAGAAAAGAAAAGAAGAAGAAAGAAAGAAAAGGAAGAGAGAGAGAGAGAGGAGTGGATGGGTCTGACAAGGGGGGACAGACGTGTGAAGGGGGGAAAGTGACCGGAGAGAGAGAAAGAGAGAGAGAAAGAGAGAGAAAGAGAGAGAGAGACGCGAAATAAATAAATAAAGATTCAAATAATAATTGCGATCCGATGGTCCATATTTAAAACTGAAAATGATCTAAAGGTCCAAATTAATCCTAGAATATAATAAGGGACAAAGGCCAAATTAATTAAATCAAACTACCACGAGGGAGGTCTACTAGTCCAAATTCGCACCCGGTCAAAAATCCACTTTTCACATATTTCGAGCAATCTCGAGGCCGACCATAATAATATCGACACCGTCCAATTAAATTCGTCCCGAAACTCCGAGAAATTCGACACCAAAGTTTGGGCTCTAAATAACGGCAAAATTCAATCGAATGCGATTCTAGCGAAATCTCAAATTTAAAACAATAACCGGGAGTGATCAGTTCCCGGGCGAGATTTTACTATAAGCACATTGACGAATTACACGTTTTATAAATCCTAAAAATGGGTCGAAATTCAGAATGTCACACTAGCCATGGCAAGGACGAACCTCGCCAGGGGCGGGCGAGGCCGAGCCTCGCTAGCCATGGCGAGGACGAACCTCGCCAGGGGCAGGCGAGGCCGACCTCGCCCAACGCCGGCGAGGTCGAGCCTCGCCGGCCAGAAGTTGAAGGTGAAGGGGAAAAAAAAAGAAAAGGAAAGGAAAAAGAAAAGAAAAGAAAAAATCAAAAGATTCGAAAAAATAAAAAATATTATTAAAATAATTATTAACGGTAATATTGGACGGAAAAGTTAACGGTGATAGATTTGGGACAAAAGTAAAAGTTTGGGGTTTTTTATGAGACAAAAAAAGTTTAGGATATAATTGGGACAAAGGCTAAAGTTTGGGGTTTTTTTGGGTATTAGGCCAATTAAAACTGAAAAGTTTAGGACTAAATTGATCGCCATTAAATAGTTTATGACTTTTTAGACAATTGTCTCTCAAAAACTGTCTAGTATTATAACACAATCTCTTGAAGACCCTTGAATTTATTTATTTTCGTATAAAAAGTGTTCTCCATGAGTCAGCATGTCGTTATGTCCGCCATAAAAAATGCTTAAACTGCAATTTTTACTATGAAATTTATAAATAAATTAAATAACGATCAATTTTAAATAGGGAAAAAGCCACAAAAACTCTCAAATTATATCTACTATGACACATCTAGATCGAACTTTGTTTTGGGACATCAAAAATCTTAAAACTATGTCCACTATAATATATTTACCCTAAACTTTTTATTGTGATGTCAAAAACCCCAAACTTGCACCCATATGATACATTTACACTCCATCAAAATTCCGTCGAATGATTTTCCGGGCAAAATGACAACATTTTTGTTTCACTTATGTCACGTGAGCGCCATGTCAATACCGGTTGCCTTTCATCGTCTATATAGACAATTTTTTAGCAATATTTTTTGACGGAACGTTAATGAAGGCTAAAGGTCATTCACTATCGATTGCAAATATCACAAAAATTGTGTGTAGCAACTGTTTATGGGAGACACACCCCCTAAATAAGCAAAAACTAATGACCCAAAATGCGGCCGCGCCTAATTAATAGGGCGTCGCTAATACTACAAAATCAATATAAGTTTGGTTAGGGTGGCTTGGAATTATAGGACACGTCTCACGTTCAACTAGACCGCACCAACTCCCTTTCCCTATACGTGGTCTCCTGCGTTACAAATAGAAAATCTGCTTTTGATATGGACTTAATGATGGTTGTTGTTTATTAAGGCTGAGAAATCATAATCACAACGCAAGTCGTTGTAAATGAATTGAGCTCTAGGTGGAGCTTCCATTATTAATTCGTTGAATGAAGGGGTCCTATACCTAAGTCACAATCTTAATGGGACAGATCTAGGACAATCGTTCTTGTCAATTTAGTGAAATTACATCTACTAATGATAAAGTCAGATTTTATCAAAACTTTCAAATCTCTCACAAAAGAACTCAAAGTTTGGCTTCCAACCCAAAAAGTCATCCCTCTTTTAGCTTCCATCTATAGTAGTTGTTAGAGATTCGACACGTCGATCTAAATATACTGTTAGCCTCACAGATTTAGATGACATTGATTGAGGGGAGGCAAAAGGACGCGGGATCACTCCATAGATTGCTTCATAAATGTGAGAAAATATTTGGTAGTATTAGCTTTCCGTGTCAGCCATAGGCCATCCTACTCATTGATCGCCATGTGTTTAGATACGTCTCACTTGTCAAAGTTTTCAAATTTCCTCTCTTCTCTCTCTGTTGCTCTCTTTCCCCCTCCTTTCCTGTGGAAGCAGGCTTCCTTACTGACACGGTCTCTCTCTCTCTCTCCCTCTCCCTCTCCCTCTTCCTCTTCTCCTTTCTTCTCTTCCTCGACTGCCCCTTTGAGAAAAGCAAATCAACTCTCTCCGACAATGGCAATTACACTGCGAAATTGCGTATTCACTCTGCACACAACCTCTCTTCGTCAACCCTCACTTCGGCCATGTCCGAATGCCCCACTCTTCTTGCTCTCTATCAACCTTTCGCCGCCCACCCACCACGGCCGAAGCTTCCATGCCTCCACTTCCAAAACCGCGAGCCCAGCAGCTTCAGACTCGGCCCGGATCATCCAGAAAGTTTTCTGCATCCCACCTGGGGTCGATCAGGTCGAGGTCTACGAAGACATGGTGCTTCCCGGGTCGAACGTCATCGCCGGACCCTACGTTGGTCATGCCCAGATTAAGGAAGTGGAGTTGGTGAAGAGCAGTGGGAGGGCCAAGGACTGTCCCAAAGTTGGGAGGCCCGAGTTTGCCATTCTGGGTCGGTCTAAGGTGTGCAAGCCTTCGCTTATCAATACTCTGGTTCTGAAGAAGGAAGCTGCAGTCACATCCAAGAAACCAGGTCCTTTTTTCCCATATTTATAGTTGTCGCCAAATGATGTTGTTTCGTATGGTTTTAGTTTGGTCGCAAGGGATGGGCTGAATGATTGATGTATTTTGCAGGTAAGACTCAGCTTATAAATCACTTCTTGGTGAACAAGAGTTGGTACATTGTGGATTTCCTTAAATTTCTCATCTATGTGGCAGCTTATAAATGCAAAAAAATCGCAGAATGTGAGCTAATATGTAAGTTTTGTTTCTTAGAATGCTGCAACTAAGCCTAAATGATAATCATTCTATTCAAGAAATACAATTTTCTATTTCTATTCCATGATAGAGTTTCTGAGCAAAAATACGCGTTTAATAACGACACAAAATTTCTATTTTCCAAATAAAAATTCGTTTGATAATGGCACAAAATTTCTCCCTCCCGGATGGCTAGCTGGTGGACGATGGGAGGTAGTTGGTGGCGGAGGACAGTGGACGACAGCAGGAGGCGGACGGCAGTCGCTATGCGGAGGATGGTGGCAGGAGGCGGCTGGCACGAAGGATGGTGGCAGGAGGTGGTCGGCACGAAGGACGGTGGCGGGAGGTGGCCGGCATCGAGCGACGGCCGGAGGCGGGCGACGAGCGGCGATCGGCAGCGGGCGATGGCGACAATCGGCAGCGGGAGGCGGCAGATGGCGGTGCGAGGCAGGTGGCGGGAGACGGCGGCCGATGTTGGGTGGCAGCAAGAGACAGCGGCCAGCGAACGGCAGGCGGCGGTAGGAGGTGACAAACGGTTAGCGGCTGGTGGTGGGCGGTTAGCTAGTAGTGAGGGCGAGCGATGAGAAAAATTTTTATTTCTCATTTCTGTTCCAGAAATAGAAAAATAGAAAATTTTTACTTTTCAATTTTTTTCCAAACCTATTTTTGAAATCAAAATTTGTTTCAGAAATAGAAAAAAAAAATTGCATTACCAAATGGATTTCTGTTTCAAATCTGTTCCCAGGAACAGAAAAATAGAATGGTTATCATTCGCAGCCTAATTGAATGAAGTACGTCGATTCGAAGTTATTAAGAGTGGGAAATTGAAAAATCATTGGATTCCAACTTGTTGTTCGGGACAATCTACTCTATGTCTTTAACTTAGTAATTCATTAGCTTTTCCTTAGTGTTTCACCTCGAAGAAGGTCGCAACAGTTTGTTGAGGAGAAACATCGCAAGTGAAAGTAAGAGATGTGGAATTGATTTTGCAGTGTCCCCATGAACCTGGGACGTTCGCCCTAGACGCTTGTAGCAATGAACCTCGAATCAACCCAGAGATCCAAGGTCGACTGAGTCCCCAAATCAACCCTCAGTGAAATTACATCTACTAATAATAAAGTCAGGTTCTATCCGAATTTTCAAGTATCTCAATAACGAACATAAAGTTTGGCTTCCAGCCCTAAAAGTCCCCCTTTTAGCTTCCATTTATAGTACTGTTAATGATTCGATGTGTCGACCGAAATAGAACACACGCCTCTCGGATTTAGGTGATGCGGATTGATGGGAGGTGAAAAGATACTGTATCACTCCATAAATTGCTTTAGAAAAGTGAGAAAATATTGGGTATAATTGGGTTTCCATGTCAACCATTAGCCACTCTACTCACTAATCGCCACTTGTCTAGATGGATCTCACTAGTCAGTTTTCAAAATTTCCTTCTTCTCTCTCTTATACTCTCTCTTTCCCCCTCCGTTGAGAAAGCAGGCTTCCTCACTGACACGCTCTCTCTTTCCCTCTCCCTCTTCGCTTCTTCTTCTCTTTTCTTCGCATCCTCAGCTGCCCCTTTGAGCAAAGCAAATCGTCTGTCTACACTCTGCACTCGACCTCTCTTCTTCAACCCTCACTTCGGCCATCTCCGAATGCTCCACTCTTCTCGCTCTCTCTCAAGACCCCCTCCTCTCTCGTGGCGCACCCACCACGGCCCAAGCTTCCATGCCTCCGCTTCCAAAACCGTGAGCCCATCAGCCTCACACTAGGCCGGGATCATCCGGAAATTTTTCTTCATCCCGCCCGGGGTCGATCAGGCCGAGGTCTCCGAAGACATGGTGCTTCTCGGGTCGAACATCAACGTCGGACCCTACGCGGGTCATGCCCAGATTAAGGAAGTGGAGGTCGTGAAGACAAGAGCAGTGGGAGAGCCAAGGACTATCCCAAAGATGGGAGGCCCAAGTTTGCCATTCTGGGTCGGTCTAATGTGGGTAAGTCGTCGCTTATCAATGCTTATCAAGAAACCAGGTCCTTTTTTCCCGTATTTGTAGTTGTCGCCAAATGATGCTGTTTCGTATGGTTTTGCTTTCGTTGCGAGGGATAGGCTGATTGATTGATGTATTTTGCAAGCAAGACTCGGCCTATCAATCACTTATTGGTGAGCAAGAGTTGGTATATTGTGGATTTTCCGGGTTATGGTTGAGCTCTAAGCACTTGGCTTTTGGCTTGCTTAAATTTCTGGCAGCTTATAAATGCAACAAATCGCAGAATGGGAGCTAATATGGAAGTCCTGTTTCTTGGAATGCTCCAACTAATTGAGTGAGGTAAGCCGATTGGAAGTTGTTAGATTGGGGAACTGAAAAATCGTTGGATCACAACTTGTTGACGAGCTTCCAAAACTTGATTAATTGGGCTTAAATGGTTTAGGCTTTTTTTACCTGTCACTTTGGAAACGCCAAGGTAGTAATTCTTTCAGCTAAGATGTAGACGCTGGGAATTCCGTCTTCAATTTACGGTCTTTCTGTTCCTCTAGTTTCCATATTTTGATATGATCGTGATGTGGAAGAAGTAAATTTGTACATTCTTAAAAGTCTTCATGCTATACTTTTCATTGCTGCTCCCAGTTCCATGGAAGGAGTAGAATGAAAATAAACAGTTAAAACGATTCTTCGAGCTAAAGGATTAGTTTTGCTAGTTAACTCTCCCATAAAAATAGCGCTCCGTTCCATCTTTTCAATCCTAATTTCTTCAAAAGTGCACCAACTTTAGGTTGAGTTCCAATTTTGGCTTGAACTTTTTTTATCTCGTAAACAATCTATAATTTTCACTTACAGCCCCCAAATCTAACCACCATTAACTAACCGTCCAAAGTCACCAGCAGAGATTGGATGTGGCGATTCCATGTCATCAATTAATTTACATTAGCTGTTCATCACCCCAACCTCATTGTGCAACGCCTTATCCGAATCTAGTCAAACTCCACCCATGACAACTGTCTGGCCAACTCCACAGCTGTTGAGTCGAGTTCCATGGCCGTCCCCAACTCATTGTTTCCATGGCTGTCCCTGTCCAGATCACAACAATGAACTCCATGATTGTCCAACTTCACCGTTGTCAAGTCGAGCTCCATGGTCGTCCCCAACTCAATGTGTCCATGACTGTCCCTATCCAGATCTCAACAACGAACTCCATGATTGTCAAGTGGAGCTCCTAGCAGAATCAAGATACCTTCACATGGGGATATTGCCAAGAGAGAGCCCAAGTGCAAGCTCGTTAACATATCCAGTTAAACATACATTCGCTCAAAAGTTTAAATTATGAGTTATGGACCAACTAATATATATTAACTGCTCTAAACCACATTAATTCTTCGACGTAAGACTTTTCAACAATCTCCCTCTCACGTGTGAGCTCAATGTTAAGTTTGTTATGTTGAGAAAACCTCTTGATAAATTTTGAAATTGACAAAACTATCCATGTGTTTCTTATAAGTCTAATAAATGCCTTGAAGTATTTTGATTCAGGAACTTATTCTTGGAAGAGAAGAATATGGTAATCTTAATCCTACTCAAATTGTGGAATTTACTTCAAATAAAAAAGGTTCAGACTTTATACTAGAGATGAAGAACTTCAGATTTAGAGAACTACTTATGTTCCCATCCTAACACAAGTTCAGATCGTAACAATGTTCAGAACAGAACACAAGTTCAAAACGTGACACAAGTTCAGAACGTATATAATGGCTAGTGATTTGGTTCGGATTTCACATTTGGAATGAATTGATTAACTCAATCTTAAAGATTGTTTTTGCAATAGTTTAATATACAAAACATTTTAAATGATTGGCAAATCAATCTCGAGAAAAGTCACTTTATAAACGGAGAAACTCTACTTATGGAAAGCAAGACTTTTGTTGTATGGGCGATCAGAATCAGCGGAGATTCAGATTTTGTCCCTCAATGGTACTCAATCTTCTTAATACAGATCCGTCCAACTGTTGACACCTAAATTTTGGCGACATGTTTAGTCATTTATTGCATAAAAAAATTAAGGGTCAATCCCGACTCTTAAACGAAAAAACATCAATCAAATTGCATTTCTCATAAGCATTAGACCCACATGCATTTTAATTGAGCGAATGTGAAACAAATTCAATGAAGGAACGCACGAGCATAATTGAAATAGCAAGAAATCATGGAGGGGAGCTCGTAATAGAGAGAGATCAAAATAGGTGAGAAACAAAAGAGTTCTTTTCTGTGGCTATTGTTCCACCACATCCCTCTCCTCAGTGATTTGTAGCAAATTCCTTTGTTCCTGTGAGCCTAGTTGCGTCGCTCTTGCTGCTAATTGCTATTATGTCGCTGTTGTTCGCTGCTGTTTGCTGCTGCATGCTGTTGTTTGTCACTGTTCGCTGTTGTTTACTGTTGTTCGTCACTGTTCGCTGCTGTGTTGCTGCTGTTCGTTGCTGTTTGCTGCTGTTCGCTGCTGCTACGTCCTTGTTGCCGCTGTTCGCCGCTACCGCTGCTGCTGCTCATCATCGCTGCTCGCTGCTGATTGCTGCGTTGTTGCTGTTCGTCGTTGTTTTCTGTTCATCACTGCTGTTTGTTGTTCGCAATTGCTGTTGCGCCACCGTTGCTGCTGTTTGCTACTGTTTGCTGCCGTTCATTGCTTTTCATTGTTGTTGCATACCTCCGGTTGCTTTCCACGATTTTGTGTCTTCGGTATCAATTTCTTGTGGTTAACTCTAACCAAGGTGAGGGTGAGCTCGGTTTTAATTCGTGGATTGTCAGTACATGATTTTAACTACATGTCATTAGTAAGTAAAACCTTAGGTTATATAGTTGTATTTTTTATTTTATTTTTGCATTAACCAAGATATATTATGGCATTTGGACCTTTAGACACTAAGGTCAAACCCTTAATATTATCTTAGTGTGACTCCTTGATCCAGCTTGTGCATGATATTTTATGAATTTTGGTTGTTGATGAATCTTGTGAATAACACACATTTTTAAAGCTCAATGAAATTTATTACTTATCGCGT